TATTTTAATAATAGTAATAATAATAATAATAATAATAATAATAATAAGTGTAATATATATATATATATATATATATATTATTGTTTCTAAAAATTTTATGTTGTATTAATTCATGTTTCAACCAAATTAAGCACAACTTAAATATGTTTTTTCAAATCAAAATTCACCTATTGTGAGAAATTTCAACGTTTTCATCACATGTGAATTTTTTTTGGGTACTATAACGGATTAATTCATTACTTATTACTACAATGAAATAAATTCTACCATCAAATAAATAATGTAAAAATTTAAGTAATATAAATTTTAGTCCGCTTAGCTGTTAACTCAGATCAGATTGTATAGAGTGCAAAAGGATAGAAACATATCTAAGAGCACATCATCTTCACAAATGAAAAACAGCCAAGTTTATAGACTTAGCTCTACAACTGAATTCCTAGAAAATAGCCAAATAACCCACGTCTAACAGCATATTCCTAGTTGTGGGAAAACAGATTAACTGAAACACATAAAAAACAAAAATATAAAATTTCAAAATAGATTTCTTAAACTAAAAATCTTCTGACTCAGTCAACAATTCCTCCCTTAAACTGCATGCTCCTTGCAGCAGTTTATTTCAGAATCTTCAAGCATGCCTAGAGCACTTCGTAGGCGCTGGAAATCTTCAACCTTCAGAGGCTTCGTCATAATATCTGCTAACTGATTTTTGGTATTACAGAAATTCAGCTCAATAACACCATCATTGCATAAATTTCTCAAGAAGTGAAATCTAACATCAATATGTTTACTTCTTCCATGCAAAACTGGGTTTTTGGATAATTTAATTGTAGAAACATTATCACAAAACATCACAGTAGCTCCAACCTGATAGTGATCAAGATGCTCCAAAATTCTTCTCAGCCAAACACATTGACAAGCACATAATGCAGCTGCTATAAATTCTGCTTCTGTTGTGGATAGGCTAACCACCGGTTGTTTCTTTGAAACCCATGAAATCACACCACCAGCCAAAAGGAAAGCATAACCAGATGTGCTTTTCCTATCTTCAAGATCTCCTGCATAATCACTATCAGTGTAAGCAAATAATTCTTCATTTATTCCAGCCTTGTAGAAAATTCCCAGATTTTGAGTGCCTTGTAAATATCTCAAAATCCGCTTTGCTGCTATGAAGTGACTCTCCTTTGGATGCTCCATAAAACGACTAATCAAACTAACAGAATGTGCAATATCCGGCCTTGTAGCTGTAAGATACATAAGGCTTCCTACAAGTTGTTTATATATAGTACTGTCAACCTCTGTTCCTTTATCTTCTTTCAGCAACCTAGTACCTGGAGCAATAGGATTCTTCACTGAATTGCAATCAGACATATCAAATCTGTTCAACATATCCTTAATGTATTTTTTCTGCCCAATGTAAATTCCAGTACAGCTCTGCAAAACTTCAATGCCTAGAAAATATCTCATCTTGCCTAAATCAGTCATTGCAAATTCATTCATCATTATAGTCTTAAACTGTTGAAACATCAACTCATCACTACCAGTATATATAAGATCATCTACATAAAAACACACAATTAAAATTTCACTTCCCTCCTTCTTCAAAAATAAAGTGTGCTCATGAGGACATTTTAGAAAACCGTTAGTTACAAGATGAGACTCCAACTTACTGTACCAGGCTCTCGGAGCCTGCTTAAGTCCATACAAAGCCTTTTTGAGCTTGTATACTTGATGTTCACGTCCTTGACATACATACCCCGGTGGTTGCTCTAAATAGACATCTTCATTGATTTCTCCATGCAAGAAGGCTGATTTAATATCAAGCTGATAAATACTCCATCTTTTTGTTGCTGCAATTGCAATAACAGTCCTGACAGTTTCAAGACGAGCTACCGGTGCAAAAATCTCCCCGTAATCTATGCCTTCCTCTTGAGTGTAGCCTTTTGCTACAAGTCTAGCCTTGAATTTGTCAATCTCCCCTGTTTCCTTCAATTTAGTCTTGAAAATCCACTTGACACCTATGACTTTGCAATTTGATGGTGGATCAACCAGCTGCCAAGTATCATTTCTTTGAATAGCTTGAATTTCAGCATCCATTGCATTCCTCCAATGCTGACTTTTTGATGCTTGATTGTATGTTACTGGATCTGCACCAGCAAACATGGCAAAATTCATGGCATCTTCCTCAGTTAGAGCATCACCTGTGACATAATCTCTCATCCATGTTGGTGGTCTTCTAGTCCTCCCTTGATCATGAGATTCTGAAGCTGCTGGAACAGAATAATCAGGCACATTTGAGGATGAGTTTGTTGTTGTTGCACTGGAAGTCGCAGCTGTATCATTAGATTTGTCTTGAGTTTTCTCCTCAGCTACTTGTGAAGACTCTTCCAAAGGATTCAACTCACCCGTATCAAGTATACTACTGTTTTTAGCTTCACTCCAATCCCAAGCAGCATCTTCCTGAAATTTAACATCTCTACTAATCAAAATTTTCTTCTTGACGGGATCATAAAGCTTGTAGGCCTTAGATTCCTCGCTTACACCCAACAACACACATTTGGTACTTTTGTCATCAAGTTTACTCCTTTGCTGGTTATGTACGTAAACATATCCAATGCAGCCAAAGATCCTGAAGTAAGAAACAGACGGCTTGATTCCGCTCCATGCCTCCTCGGGTGTGATGTCTTTTACAGCAAGAGTGGGGCTTCTGTTCAGAACATGGACTGCCCACATTACAGCTTCTGGCCAAAAAGCTTTTGGAACTCCTTTTTCTCCCAAAACACTCCGAACCATATTGATAATGGTTTGATTTTTCCTTTCCGCCACACCGTTCTGTTGTGGTGTATATGAAGCTGTGAGTTGTCTTTGAATTCCCTGTTCATTGCAAAATTCAACAAACTCCTTGGAGAGGTACTCTCCCCCTCTGTCAGTTCTCAACATTTGAATAGGAACACCAGCTTGTTTTTCAACTAGTGCTTTAAACTTCTTAAATACACCAAATGTTTCACTTTTCTCAAAAAGGAAATATACCCAAACTTTTCTGCTTAAATCATCAGTAAAAGTGAGTATGTACCTTTTATTTCCATTAGAGGTAGGACTAATGGGACCACAAATGTCAGAGTGAATTAGTTGCAGCAATTGAGAAGCACGCCAATTACTCTGTCTTGGAAAAGGGTCTCTTTGATGTTTTCCTTTGAGACAATGTTCACAGAGATGAGTTGGTGGCGTTAAGGAGGGCAGTCCTTTTACCATATTAAACTCCAATAAAGTTTTCAGCCCGCTGTAACTCAAGTGCCCATACCGAGAGTGCCAAACTTCTGCAGGTGGCACTGAACTAACCTGAAAGCAAGGTTGAGAAACTCCAGATTTAACATAGACAGCAAACATACGATTGGTAGTCATAGAGGTTTCAAAAATAATCCCCTTTTCTTGAAACACTCTACACTTATTTTGCTTCATCTCAACAGTCAATCCTTTCTCTTGAAGTTGCCCCACACTGAATAAATTATTTTTCAGTTCAGGCACATAAAATACATCTCTAACCAAATGCACAACTCCATTAATTAAAAGTTTAACAATACCCTTCCCAGCCACTTTTGGAGAATAATTATTCCCTAATTTCACTTCATCAGAAAAAGAAAAATCAAAGGAGGAGAACCAATCTTTTCTACCTGTCATGTGGTTACTACAACCTGAGTCAATAAACCACATGTCTTGTGGATTTGATTTTCCATCTGATGAGAGTTGTGCCATCAGTAACACCGCTTCCTCATCGACCTCAACATAATTTGCTTTGCTGTCTTGTGGTTTCTTTGGGCATTCATATTGAAAATGTCCAAAATCATGGCAGTGATAGCATTCTATCATCGTCTTGTCCACGTATCTGCCTCCTCTGCCT